GGTTAGAGACATTCACGTACTACCAGGAGAGCAGGCACAGGGTTTATGGCTTCTTCTGCACCCCAGGACAAAACGAAAGCACTGGCCACACTTTCCCTGAGAGTTTCTGGGTTGTGCGGGAACAGAGAACAGCTGGGGCTTGACATGAACCAATGCGTTGCCAAAGAAGCAGGCAGAACCCCTGCACAGAGAAAGCAAGGCGGTCAGGAGGAGAGAGCCTGGTCCAAGGGGTTGGCTGCCGTGCGGTTTCATAGACGGAAGACATGTTTTGGGGTCGAGGCACATTCGTTGGGTCGCAGGAACCCCGGCCTACCAGCCAGCTCTCCAGGCTGAGCCCCCCCCGCCCTTGCTCCCCCACAAGAACTGGGCTCCGTCGCCTGCTCCAGAGCCCCCGCGGCCTCCCCCTTCGGTGCCACCGTTGTGTCTGCGGACCTCCTTTCCCAGACGCTTCCTGTGGGCGGCTGCCCGGTCACTTTATCGTGGGCTCATCGCAACCTTTTTGATTTCCTTTTGGCACTGCTGCGTTTGGGAAAGAGCGCATTCCTCACCCTCCACATTGCTTCTTTGTTCTTGCTGTGCACCCAATGCCAGCAGAGCCACCTGTGTGTGTGTGTGTGTTTCTCTCCCCCCCCCTTGGTTTGTTTGTTTGTTTGTTTCAAACATTGTCATGTTATTGTTTTATCATTTGGTATCAAGCAGGTTTCCCGACCAGCCCATAAAAAGAAAGCCCGCATGGCCCGGACCCGCTCCAATTTCTTGACTAGAGGTGCTTTTGCGGACTGGGAGGGGGACTCGGAGGAAGAGGATGGCGAGGACAGTTTTGAGCTCCTTCTCTCCCTCGACCCACCTCCTCACCCTGAGCCCAGCTGTGCCGCCCGGCTCGGGCAGCCCTGGCACAGTGACTCGGAAATGGTAATTCCTCCCACCATTCCCTGGCTCTCCTCGGGCTCTCCTGGCACCTTCTGCTGCTGTCCTTCTCCCACTTTCTGATGGCCTTGGCAGAGGGGAGCCCCCGAGGAGGAGGGCAGCTGCTGGGGCCCCAAACCCTTCTGGCAGCCTCTGAGCAGGGACTTGTAAAGCCCAGCCCTCTGTGTTGGGCCTCCTCTCTCTCTCTCTCTCCCCTCTTCTCTTCATTCCTCTCCAGCGCTTCCCTCTGCTTTTGCACAGGAGGAGAACTGCTCTCTCAGGGAGAGACTAAAGTGCCCTGGCAGGCGTGGGGCAGTGGGACTACCAGAGGGGAGCCAAGTGCCAACGGAAGGGTTCGCTCCCCAGCAGGCAGTGGGGCCTTTGGCGGGGATCTGTGAGATCACCCTGTCGCTCAGGGGGGGGAGCATCAGCTTTACCCCACCCATGAGTTGACAGGACAGAAGCCAGCTGTGCCACATCTGTGTTCTTCTCCAGAGTTGGCTTGGCAGGTTGTGTGCCTCCCTCGTCCCTTCCATGTGGCCCTTTGGGTCAAGCTTGAAAGCTCCGGGTCCCCGAGCGGAAAGGCCAGCGTTCTGTCCCTTGGCCACCCAATGCGTAGGCTGGGCTCAGCCCTGTGAGTAGGGCTGCCTTCCTTTGGCTGCTCACCTAAGGAAGCCGAGGGGGTGAGTGGCTCGTGCGGGGGTTTCGTAGCAGGCACTGACGTGGTGGTTGGACAGATTCTTCTCACGAGACACCCAGCTCTTTGAGTGTGAAGCGACAGGTCCAGGAACCAGGTGGCACAGGCAGGAAAGAGGCTGGGGCCCCAGGGGTTCGCCCTGTTCCAGTCCCGTATTCCTGCGCACTGTGTGCATCGCTCCTTGGGAATATAGAGGTGAAGAGGATCAGAAGAGAATCAAAATAGGTCATTACCACCTTTACACGAGTTGGTGGGGAACAAAAGCCTTAGGATTCCACTTCCCCAAGATTGCACATTATCTTTTGGCTTCTGAGTTCATGGAAATGGTCTTTGGCATAGCATTACTTTAAAATACGCTCTGATGGCGTGGCAGCCTCTCTGGTGCTGGCTGGTCCAGTCCTGTCCCGTCCCTACTCTGTGCTACGCAGAAGAATGGAAATTCTTTTCCCAAGCACTTGCAAACTTTGCAGATTGTGGTTATAAATAGAAACAGAATTTCTGAAAATAAAACTGACAGCATTAACAGGACCCCTTGCCTCAGTCTAGATTAACATATTTCTGCATGTTGATGGTGGCAGAAGGCTTTGGGGAGAGATGCGGAAAAAGAGGGCTGGCTGCAGGTTCCATCACCGTCTGCCTCGCCCTAGACTTTCCAAATTACCTTCGCTGGACAGAGAAGCCTGGAGGTTAAAAAAGCCATCTCTACGAAGAGGTCGGCCAGATAACAGTTTTGGGAAACAGGCTGAGGTTGCATCACTGAACTTGAACTTGGGCTGATTTCACTAAAGCTCTTTGGTCGAGCAGAGAGTCAGCAGAAGGCAAAATGCGCCAAGGAAGCCGTTCTTCCTGGGCATTCAGAGAGCACGGGAGGGTTTGTAGCCGAAGCTCCGGGGCCCTCAGAGTTTGAGTAAGGAGGTAAAAGGAAACTGGATGAAGAAAGGGTCGCGGTATCTTGAACATGCAGGAGATGAAGGGCTTCCTTCAAGAATATATCAAAGCCGTTTATCAGACTGAAATATTGAAGGAGTCTTCTTCCTTCCTTCCTCCCTTCCTTTCTTTTGAGGGGCAAGTGCCATCATATTTTGTGAAGCTCCTCCATTGCACCGCTGGAGGACCTTTCATTGCCTTCTTGAGGCGGTTTTCATTGGGGGGCAATGGAACATGGAGGGGGCTTTGCTTCAGCAGGAATTTTTCAGACTTTTAACCGGAGGGGGGGAGCAGCAAGAGGGGCACTGCCCAGGCACACCAGGGATCTTCACAGCGGGAGCCAGGCCAGTGAGGATGATGCCCGGAAGGTACCCATGCACACACCTGTTTCAAAGGCATACCTGCACACCCACTCTGGCCCCTCCCTGTATTGAGCCCAGCCCTAAATGACAAGCAACGGAAGGGATTGTTCTTTCTCTCTTAGAGAGAAAGGGCCCAGGGTGGAGACTGGAACCGGGAACCCATGGGCTCTCCACTTCACGGGTGGTTGTGGGGGGGGCAGACAGGCCCCGCGCCTCCCCTCCGATTGATTCCCTTCGGCCAGTGCCAGCAAGGCACGTTGCTTCCAGTAACCCACTTTGTGTTTATTTCTAATACCTGCTAAACGGCTAACATCCCTTCCATTTCCCGCCCGCCCCCCACCCACCTCCACTTGCTCAGAAGTGTCGTAACAAGTCCGAGGGAGGGGTGAGAGAGGGACTGGGGAAGCAGCAGTGCCACAGGTGTCTTCAGAGAGGGGTCTTCAGGCACTTCGTGGCAGCTTCCAAGAAGCCACCGAGCAGGCATAAAGGGCTGCCGGGAACACCTTGCTCTTCTCTCGGCCACCAGTCCTCTGGGCAGATGGGGGTGCGCTGCTCCCCCCTTCCTTCTGTCGCATGAGAGGACCCTGAGCCAGCGGGAGAAGAGTCCTCATTCTATTCTCTCTCTCTCTCTCTCTCTCTCTCTCTCTCTCCACGGCCAGCGCTTTGGCTGCCAAGCAGAAGTCAAGGCAAGCCATTCTCACTTGGAAGCTGTTTCTCGCAAGTGTTTGCTCTGCAGTAGCTTTAATAGCTAAAGACCAGCCGGCCTGCAAATGACACAGAAGGAGGGGGCTGGAGATATTGATTGTGCTTTTAATTCTTGTAGATGCTGCAGCGGTTCTCGTCCAGCGAAGGCCAAGCGAGGCTTCAGAAAGCAATGTCTCAAGGAGAGATTGGAAAGCTGCCGTTGGCTCAGAAGACAGTAGCTACAGGAGGAAGGTATAAAAAGTTCTCAGCAAGAAGGAAATGGGGACAGGGAGGCAGCTTAAGTTTTACGATGCCCGTCTTTCTCCTAAGAAAGTTACACGATCGGTCCACGCATGGACATAACGTAATAAGCATTTGGGGTCCTTCGCTCCCCCTCTCGCCTGGTGGAGAAATGTATCCGGCAGGCTTTGGGAATGACCTCGTTGCAGACGGGAGATTCTTTGGTGGGGGAGATGGTTGAATGCCCGGGGGCTCCCTTGGCAGAGAAGATTCTCTCCAGATGCCGGGCAGGGGGAGGAGCCGTTCGCTCTGCGCTCTGCGGGAGACCCTGTGGCACACAGGACTTGGCCGGTTGTTGTTTTCCTGGCGGTTTTCGGCCAGGGACAACTCTGTGAGAACTGTTGCCCTCACGTAAGCTGAATTCATATGACCAGAAGCATGTGTTTGTCTTCAGTAAACTTTATAACGAGTTGTTTTTATCACTCATCTAATTTTTCTCCGCATCATGAGTTGTTTTACCAGCGGGAGTGAGCGTTCACAGGGAGATGGTAGGTTTTGTGGCTTTCTGTTCTTTTTTGCTTAGTAGCTTCAGAAAGCCGTTGTGATTGCCAGGAGCAGCTATTGATCACCTGGCAGAGATGGCGCAGCCGTAGGACATGTGAATAACGAAAGGAAGCACTTCATTAACTCCAGGGTTTCTCAAAATATGTCAGGGTGAGGAAGGGGGGGGGAGTGACATGCAAGCAGCGAAAAAGGAGGGCGTCCAGTTTGTTCCCATTTAATTTTTTTTATTCCACCTGGGTAACGCTCAGTGTTGCCTCACCTCCTTTTCTCTCCCCACAACCCCCGTCCCCGGCAGGCTTGTAGAGCGAAACACCTTCCTTCCCAGAAAAGGCGCTTCGGCCAGCTAGAATTCATGCATTGAAGAGGAGCGGTTTATTGGATGTGGCAGTGCAGTCTAACAAATTAATAGTTTGTGACTCTAACATTGAAACCGTCTCAGCACTATGCAAAGAATACCAAATTCACAATAACACCTTAAATCTCCCGTTGAAAGTTGAGATGGTGTGAGTGCCCCATGCTCCCAGTTTTGGAAGATTGCCTCAGACCCCCTTCTCGTTCCTAAAAACAGCACGGGGCTGCCTGGATCTGGAGTGGGGCTGGATTCCCCCCCCCCCATTTGCCCCACAGGTTGCCCTCTTTATTCCTGGTCACGACGGGGAGAACTAGCTGGTCTAGATCCAGAAGAGAAAGGGTGCAGAGCAGCCGGGAGGCTTGGGATGAAAGGGGATGCATTCTCAGGGGGCCTCTTCCCTTCCTGCTTGTCCTTCAGCAGGTCTCAAAGAGCCAGGATGAAATTTTGGGGGAAGGGGAGGCAGTGGGAGAAGAAAGCAAGCCGGGAGAAGCTTTCCACCCCGTTGGAACTGCTGGAGTTGCCTCCCAACCAGGCAGCTCCCGGAAGAGACGTCTCCAGTCTGCAGCTTGAAGAAGGTAAAGTGTGTCGGGAAGGGGGGAGGTGGCCTGGGAACCTGGCAGGGTTAAAGGACCTGCAGATTTCTGGGGGGAGGTGTGGGGGGTTTGAACATCCTAAGAAACGGTGGTGCTCTTGCATGAAGCAGAGAGAGAAAACTCAGGGGTCAGTCCAGGCCTTCCGGGATGGGAGTGCCACATGAAACCCTTTCTGTGGCATCGTCTTTTCAGAGAGGAGTCACGGTGTGTGTGTGTTGGGCGGGGGGGGCTGAAGCAGAACAAATACGGGACAGCAGTGACAAAGTTCCATCAGACGTCTTGCCAGAGAAGAGCGTGTTTCTGTAGTCCTACCAAGTGGCAAAGGGAAGCGGAACGGGACTCGGAGGAAACGAGAGGGCGGCAGGATGGGCACCCAAAGCCCCTGGGCGGGGCGGGGCGAGGCAGGGCAGGGAGTGGGGCAAGGGGTGGCCAGCACAGGGCAGGCCGGGGCCGCTCCCACCGGGCCAAGTTCTCCCCTGAGCCCCGGCGGTCTCCTTGCCCCTCCAGAACTCACTCCTCCCGGGAGCCCCGAGCTGTCCGGCCTCCACCGGAGGGAATGTAAGGAAAACCAGGAGCCTTCTCCCAAGGTGAAGCGGAAGCGCAGCCTCAAAATCAGCAGCGTCGCGATGGAACCGGCTCGGTGGCAGAACGACGCCCTGCAGATCATCACCAGCGCCAGCGACTTGAAGAGCATGGACGAGTTCCTCTTGAGAAAGGCAAGGCGAGCTTGGCCCTTCTCTTGCTACCTTTCTTGGCTTTCCTGCGGGCAGGTCAAGACCGTGCGCAGGCCTCCCCCCCCCGCCTTCCCCTCTGCTCTATGGACGCAGCTGCGGAGTGGGGGATCCTCCCGAGAGAGGGGGACGGGCCCACGTGAACTGACCCCGTGAGTTTCCGGGCCAAGCGGGGATTTGAGCCCTCAAAACTCTTCAAGTCCCGATCCAGCCCCTTCCCCCCCCCCCGCACAGAGAGAGGTCAGCACACCAGAGAGCCACATGGGATCTCCCGGTCAGCAGCCCAAGCCCTGTCGGGCCACAGGTTCCTCAAGCACGTGATGGCGAAGGACTCGGGCCGGTCCTTGGGGGGCCTGAAAGGGTTGGGCTGAAGGGGCTCCCACGAGTGGTTCAGGGTGAGGGTGCTTTGCCTTTCCTTCCTTGCCTCAATAAATGGTGACCTTCGTTGCTGGGATATGATCAACCCACCCAAGCAGGAGGATATGGGGACAGCCTGCTTTGAGTCTAAGAACACACCAAGGGGGGCCCACACGGCCTGTCCCCTGCTGCTGCTTTGGGGGGTGGGGGGACATGCCACATGCAGCCGGGGCTCAAGACTGGGGTAGGGGCCAGGGGGTCTCCCCCAAGGGTGGCGGCTGCAGGCTGGTCCTCCCTTAGAGGGGGATTCACGTTGCCATGCTTAGCCTCCCACCCCCCCCCCCACCCCCACCCCATGGTAGCCTCAGAACCTGCTCGCTGCCCCTAGAGAAGGGAAGCCCGCCTGCCTCCCTCCCTGATGCCTCACGGGCAGCCTTGCCTTGTGTTGTGACTGGCGGTGGAACAGAGCGGATCATCTCCTCCGGGGGCCAGAATGGTTGTGAAAGATTTACAGCGGAAAGATCACAGACCTCACCTTGCCATTCACAGATGAACGATCTGGACAGCGAGGATTGCAAGAAGGACACCGTGGTGGACGTCGTCTTTAAAAAAGCCTTGAAAGAATTCCGGCAGAATATCTTCAGCTTCTACTCTTCTGCTTTGGCCGTACGTTGCAGCGCGACTCTTGTTTTGAACTTCAGAACTGCCGAGGGGACCCCTGGCAGCAGCAGCAGCTTCGGGTCCTGTCCCCCCCACCACCACCACCGCCATGGGACGGCCTGCCCTTGGTGGTCCGCTGGCTTTGATAGAAAAGAGCTGGGGGCTTCTTTCTGGCGGCTTCCCCATCACTGGGAATCTGTTGTGTTCCTTCCCGTGAGCTCAGTGAGTTGGGTATGTGGCCGGGAGCCGATTCCTGTGCAAGCTACACAGGCCCGGGGTACACACACGCACACACACACCCCTGGGGAAGGCAAGGGGAGACCACGTCTGAGGACTTTGGGCCTGCGAAGCCCTGAAAAGGGTCACCAGAGGCCAGAACCAACTTGGCAGCACACAGTTGTTATGATCATTTTCCTTCCATTCTATAATAGCCTAGAAATGCTGGTCCTTTTAAAACGAGAAAAGAATATAGCCCTGCAGGGGTTTGACTCTCCCAGAAATACAGGACAAGATGCTTCATTGCAGTCCAACTATGCTGGTCTTGTAAACTGGGTCACAGTGTCTGGTGGGGGGGGGGAGGAAGGCAGGGCTCCTGCAGTCCATTTTTACAGGGAAGCAATCCCACACTGATCTTCAGATCCAGCTGTGAAATACTCCCCCCCCTTGACCTGTGTTGTCATTCTGAGCCCAGTGTTTTCTCCTCTTTGTTTCTCAGAACCTCCTCTTTGCCCCCAAATCCCCCACCGCCACCCATTAAACCTCCACGCAGAAGAGGCCACGGAGCTCTTTGGCCCGTGGGTCCTTCCGGAAATTGACTGCTGCTTCTCTTACCTGGTGCTTCGGCTTTCATGTCTATTCTGACTAGTTCTCCAGAGTGGTAGAATCTACTAGATGGGCGGGATATAAATCAAATCAAATAAATAAATCAAATAAATAAATAGTTCTTTCTCCTACGGCCTTGTCGACAGCTTTGCGAGCCTCTCTTTGAAAAGCGGCATGAAATGGGCAGTTGAAATGGAAGCCGGCGTTCCTTTCCCTTTCTCTCTGGTTTTGTAGATGGGAGATGGGAAGAGCATTCGCTACAAAGACCTGCACGCCCTGTTTGAGCAGATCCTGGAGAAGACGATGAAGTTGGAGCAGAGGGACTGGAGCGAATCCCCTGTGCGGGTCTGGGTCAACACCTTCAAAGTGTTCCTGGACGAATACATGACGGAACACATGCCTCTGGATTATACGGCCTCAAAGGTGAGCCCGTCTGACGCTCGGCCGGAAGGAGGCTGCTGGAAGAACGGCCCTCTTGTTTTTGTCTTCCTGCCTCTGAAAGCTTTTGTTGGAGGAAGGCCCTCTTGCTGCATCGCTGGGGGCACGTGCCGTGTTCCTGGCTCTCCCTGGAGTTCTCTGTTATGCTCTCGTAGAGTCTACACTAACAAGGACCTGTCAGGAGCTAGTTTGCTCTTTCAGGCACCGGTCCCTCCGTCAGAGTCCTTGGCGTCTGCTGAACAACCTCAGTGGTGGTCTCGGCGACAGCCCCAAGCATTTAGCCGGGGCGGCACCCGCAGCCCTCCCGCTGAGGGAGCAGCATTATAGAGATGATATTATTGGCATGGCGAAGGACCAGAAGGAGAGGACGTGGGGGCAGGGGTTGGGGATAGAAGCGGGTGCTGCGTGAGACAGCCAAGATGCCTCTGGTGTGGCATGGAGGAGGAGAAGTCGCAGAAGGAAAGGCAAAGGAGGGAGGAGGAGAGAGAGAGATTCCGGACGGCTGACCTCTTCATTTGGGTTCCTTGTACTTTTTAGGTGACCAAACCAGAAAGAAAGAAGAGAAGAAAGAAGGAAGCAGATGTCGTAAGCGAAAATAGTTCCTCTTTCCATTGTTAAGCATGAATGAACCCTCGTGCCTTACTGTGAGAATTGTGTGCAAGCTTGAAAGGTCTCCTCTTTAGGAGGGTTGGTGCTCCTGGCCTTCTGAGTCCCAGGAGAAACACCTGCCGCTAAAAATGGAGATTTATCTTGGCATGTGTGCCTTTTGCTCCCCGTGGACTGTTCGTGTTGGCAGCCGACCCCTCGGGCTCTTTGGAATACCAGCCCAGCCCTAGGATTGCCTGAGGGCTGGCTGACAACCCCTTGCCCCCCCCCCCTGCTGCGCTCTCACGCTCCCTGTCCCGGTGGCAGCAGCTCAGCTCTTCCTGCTCCTGGTGGCAGCCCCTTGTCCTGACAGTCTCGGCAAGAAGACTCTGCCTGGGTTCTGGCCCGTGGCTGACTCCCTGGGCCTGAGTTTTTACTGGCTCCTGACGAGTCTGGCTGCTGGAGGAGGAGGAGGTGTTTCCCCCACACACACACCCTGGGTGGTAAAAAGAACTTGGCATCTCCCAATGCAGTGCTTGGGTTTGTTGAGCTCCAGGGAGCCAGAGTGGCCCAGAAAGCCCCTCAGGGCCTCCCCCCCCCGCACGGGGCTTGGGCGGCTGTCGAGAAGGGCTCTCGAATCCCCCCCCCATGTCGCTTTGGAGCGGAAGAGGACACGCTCCAGTCCCCCCAACGTCTCCACTGCTTTTGTCTCCCCTTGGGCTCCTCGGCAGGTCGAAGAGCGCAACGGCCACATTTTCAAGGCCACCCAGTACAGCATCCCCACCTACTGCGAGTTCTGCTCCTCCCTGATCTGGATCATGGACAGAGCCTCTGTGTGCAAGCGTAAGTGTGGACTGTTCGCCCGCCCGAGGGCTTGGCGGTCGCCTCCCCTCCGTCCTTCCTGCTCTTCTCCCTTTCGTCCTTTGAAAACTCGCCTTCCCTCGCTCCCTTCTCTTCCCTTCTGGCGCTCCCGGATGCACGGCGAGGGCAAAAGGGGCCACGTCCGCCCCTGCCCCTTTGAGAGTCTTTGAAATGGCAGGTGTGGACCAGGCAGCGAGCGCGCCAGCACGCCCTCCTTGCAGGGGGGCTTCTTTTCCCCAGTCCCCCATTCGGGCTGGGTGCCTCTTTCTGCCGACCTGCACCAACCCCACCCGCCTGATCCCTGGGAAGGAGGAGTTTAGGGCTGGCTGCTGTGGACTTGGCTGCCATCGGGGAAGTCCACGGGGCAGCGGGCCAACTGGTAGCGGTGGCGGTGGTGGGGAATTGAAGTCCTTCACGGTGGCCTGGCTTCGTAATGTTGAAAGACATTACAGAACGGGCAAGGCGGGATGGGGACGCTGTCTCCTTTCCCTTCCCACCAGCCACCCCTTGAGGAGAGCCTGCCTCCTCCGCAGCCTCTGCCTCCCGTCAGCCAGGGCAGGTTTGGGACCCCATTGATCAAGGCCGTCCCCTGCCTTTTGGCCGTGTGAATCTGCCTCCTTGGGGCAGAGCGGGGACCCGGCCGAAAGCGTGGGAAGCGGCGCTTCCCAAGGGCCAGGCTGCCCTCGGGAAAGCTACCTCAGCCTCCCCTCATCCGAGTGTGCAGAGCGTTCCTTCCTCTCTCCTTCCAGTCTGCAAGTATGCCTGCCACCGGAAGTGCTGTCTGAAGATCACCACCAAGTGCTCTAAAAAGGTAGGTGCTCTTCCTCCCTCCCTCCCTGACGGAATCCGGTCCCCAGACGTCTGCAGCCAGGGAGGCTTCTCTCGTTGTCTGGAAGGCAGCCAAAACCCAGAGGTTTCATTCGGAAGCCACTGCGTAGTTAATTCCATCTCTTCATCAGCAATATTATTCTAGTTCAGAAAATGATTCCTGTCACGCCCACTTTGAAACGGCTTCCTTCCTTTGCTCCGGTGCAGTGAAAGAGGAGCCGGCCTTTGGTTTTCTAGCTTTTTACTGACCGATGGTCATGAGTATCCCTAAATGAAAGTCCTCCCGAGACTCTGACCTTGCTGTCGTTTTGTCTGGCAAAGAGGAGGGAGGAAGAGAAGGCAGGAGCGCTCTCGAGGGGGGGGGGCAAGGCCCTGGGGGCCGGGATGGCCTGAAGCCAGTCACTTCCCTTGAGTCTGTTGCCAGCCTCCCTCGTAACACAGGGCGACGCTCGCCTGCTGCAGAGCTCCGCTGCCTCTCGAGACGCTGAGAAGCTTCTCTTTCTCTTCCTCCAGTATGATCCTGAGCTCTCCTCCCGGCAGTTTGGGGTTGAGCTCTCCCGACTGACCAACGAAGAGCGAACGGTCCCGTTAGTGTTTGAGAAGCTGACCAGCTATATCGAAATGCACGCCTTGTACACAGAAGGCATTTACCGGAAATCCGGGTCGACGAATAAGATCAAAGAGCTGCGCCAGGGGCTCGACACAGGTGAGAAGCCGGCCCAGAGGAAAGGCACACTTCCCTTCTGATGTTCAGGCAGCACAGATCCAGATTTGCTCAGCCCCAGCCTTGGCCAGAAATCACGGTGGAGCTGGAGAGATGGGTGGCTGGGCAAATGGCAAGACGAGCCGTTTACCCTCCCTGTGCCGTGTCTTTCTGGCGTTTGGTCATCTAATTTCAGGATGGAAATTCCCCTTTGGATCAGCCAGCCTTTGCCCACTAAGACCTGAAACACCGTATTTCCTAATTCATTCTTCCAGCGCTAAGTCTTCGCCTCCATTCTCTCTGTTCCTCAGATATTGAGAGTGTGAATCTTGACGACTACAACATCCATGTCATTGCCAGTGTCTTCAAACAGTGGCTGAGGGATCTCCCCAACCCTCTGATGACCTTTGAGCTTTATGAAGAGTTTCTGCGAGCGATGGGTGAGGAAGGGCCTGGCGCCTGACGATAGGCACGCCGGGAGGACTCGCTCGTGGCGTTTTGCACCAAAGAAAGGAAGGAGGGCCAGCCAGCCTGGTGAAAGAGGGCACCTCCCTTCATGCGGGGAACAAAGTGGGGGGAGTTGGCCCCCTCTGCAGTTTGCCCTCCTGTGCCTGTCTTCAGACGACCCGGGAGAGGGTCTGGCAGACGGTTGTCAGTCTGAGACCAGGTTCCCGCAGTGACTCTTTTCACTTTGTTGGCGGCCGTCCAGGGTTTTGGGTTGGCGCAGGAAGCATCCTCCCAGCGAGGGCGAGGAGGTACGGGCACCCTCATGTTAGTGCCGACTTCAGACACCAGCCAAATGGCTGGCGTTTAATAGAGGGCCTTAAAAAGAAACCCTGTCTTTCCTCGAGTGTCCGCGTGATCGCCAGGAGAACCCTGGGGAAGGGAAAGGCCCTGGACCCCCCCACACACACACGGGGAGCTCCGGGGCCTCTCGTCACGCTGAACCTTCCTCTCTCCGGAAGGCACACCTGAGGCTGACTTTTAGGGGCTGCTTCATCAGCCACCCTTTACAGGCGAAGCTGGAGGAGGATGTCAGGGTATTTTTAAATGGCCTTATTGGGCTCTTGACTGTGAATTTGAAGAGAACTTTGCTTCATTAAAAAATCCAGGCCGACATCAGGTACAGGAAGATTCCTTTCTTTTTTAATTCAGTGAAGTGCACTCTTCTGCAGGCTTGCAAGAGAGGAAGGAGGCCATCCATGGGGTCTACTCGGTCATCGACCAGCTTTCCCGCACCCACCTCCATACCTTGGAGCGCCTGATCTTCCACCTTGTCAGGTACCTGCAGTCAAGCCATAGGGGTTTCATTCCCTCCCTCCACCACCACCATCTACTTTTCCTTAATGAAAGCTGCTCCTGCTGTCGGCCTCTTTCTTAATATCCATGCAGCTTCTCTCTGAGGCCACCTTGTGACACACACCCCCAATGCCCCCACCAGAAGCTGGTGGGTTTGTGCAGCAGACAGATGATATGGCAGGCAGACGCCTCCTTGTGCTGATTGCTTTAGAAAGCACGTCCTGAGCGTCATCGTCTCCTGAGGGACGCTCCGGCCCAGAGGCACCCCCGAGGAGCCAGTCCTTCCAAGGGGCAGGCACGGCCCATAGTGTAAAGTTCCCAGGGCCTGCAGATGGCCACAGGGACGCAGTCTGGCCCAGGTGAGCATACCTGTCCCAGCAGGGCTGCAGTGGCTGAGTTCCTCGGATGATGTGCCTGGGAGACCAGTGAAACTCGCCCTTCCTTGTCTGCGTCCCTTCTGTCCTCGGAGGTGGAAGAGGTGGGGTGAAACCCGGAGGGCAAATGGGTCTCGCTTCCCCTGCAGAGAAAATGCTTCTCTCCCGGCCAAGGAGGCAAGCTGTCCTTGCAGACTTTCCCATCTCCGTCAGCCCCGACACGCTGAGGTTTCCCTTCTCTTCAGCCGACATCCCCATGCCTTGGTTCCTGTCTGGGACTTCAGGCACCCTCGACGCCCCCCCCTCCTCCATAAAACCCTCCAGATGCCACAGCTGTTCTTTTTGGGGCCCTGCTTAGGATTGCCTTGCAAGAGGAGACCAACCGGATGTCGGCGAATGCGCTGGCCATCGTCTTTGCCCCCTGCATCCTCCGCTGCCCGGACACCACCGACCCTCTGCAGAGCGCCCAGGACGTCAGCAAAACCATCAGGTGAGAGCCGCCAGCGGCGCCTCCCAGCCGCCCCCTC